GCGTCTGCCAATAATTCCGTTATCAGGTCTAGAAGATCCTCTTCCTTATCTTCCATTATATTTTGAAATCTTAAAAAATATGAGACTCTTTCCATCTCCATGACAGCTACCGAGTCTTCTAGTTTTCCATTTATTTGCATCAATTTCTGATTTTCATCTTTTAAGACTTCTAATTTCTGGTCAACCTCAGTTGATTTATCTTCTATTTTTTGGATTCTTTGTTGGTTATCTGTAACCATCTGTTTAAAATTTTCAAATTGAAAGTCCATGTTATTAATTTTTTGATTCATTTTATCAAGATCACTTTTCATCTCCTCATGGTTTCTCGTTGTAGCTGCCATGTGAGTAGTGATTGCCTCTTGAATTGCTTGTAGGGTCTCTTGAGTTTCCTTTTGGAAGTTATTAGCCTTTTCTTGTTGGAGCATTGTATCAATTGATCTCTGATAAACTGGACTTGCAGAAGCAGAAGAGGGAGCAGAAGTACCTTTTTTTCCAACTTTACATAGATTGGGGACGCTCATCTTTTAATCATACTTTATAATCCACCAAGTAAATCAGAATTTGTAATCCAATAGGCTCCTAACAAATAGGAGAGGTAAATAATAAAAATAATAAGTAATAAAAAAAACAAAAGGGAAAAAAGAAAAAAAATACCAAAATTTGTAATCCAAAGTGTTCTGTTAGAAGAAGTTTCTTGTTATTCACTCTACCAAAACAGCTTGTAAAATTCCAGGTCAAGCTGTATTTGTAATCCAAGGAAGTCAGATGCCTTCAAAACAATTTTTATTTATAATTGTAATCCATCCTGTAGAAAAGGGCAATCGAAAAAGAGTCTTCTCTTTTCCAGCCACAATCTTCAGGACTATAAATTCCAAGGACACCAAAAAGTTTAAACTATAAGCTGTGTCTGGGCATCTAGCCAAGTTTTAGAGCTCCAGTCAAAACAACTTAGTAAGATAAAAAAAAAAGCAAGGTTAAATATAATTCTCAGATGTGCCACTAGATGTCATTAGATGTCCATTCCCACCAAACTTTAAAAAGTTAAAAAGTTAAAATCCAATGGTTTCCAAACAAGGAACAAAAAAAGATTTATAGAAGCAAAGGTTTCCCAAATTATCCTTCTTTTATCCCTCAATTATCTTCACAATATTGTTATAAGTCAGTTTTAATTTCCCCAAAGCTTAAACTGCTGCTTATAGTTCAGGAGGGAGGGGTAGAGAAAAAAATAATCCCCCCCCCTAAAGCTTGGGGATTTCTTGCTTTTGAGTGCTTTTTTCCAGAACCGGTATTTTTCACTTGTAGAGAGGTAAGGAAAGTAGTCTCACCCAGATCAGTTGTTTTGCTTTCCGCTTATTAGTATTCTTGAGACAAGCCCTAAATTATTGACAAAGATTGAAGAATTTGGAGAAGTAGCAGGACTGAAAATAAACAGAGAAAAGACTAAAGTGATAGTCAAAAACCTTACAGAGAAACAACCCCCCCCCCAATTGTCAGAAAAAACAGACCTCCAGATAGTTAAGAAAGTTAAATACTTGGGGATATATTTAACAGCAAGGTATGCAACAATAAAAGAAGATAATTATGTTAAACTATTAAAACAAATAAAACTAGACTTGGAAAAATGAAAAAATCTACAACTATCAATATTGGGAAGAACAGCGACGGTGAAAATGAACATTTTACCAAAACTACTTTTTTATTCCAAACAATACCTATAAAATTAGAGAATTTTTTTTATGAATTAAATGCATCGATTTTGAAATTTATCTGGCAAGGGAAAAAAGCCAGAATTAGACTGAAAATGTTATAAGAAGTGAAAGAAAATTGAGATTTTGGGTTACCAGACTGGGTTCTATACTATCAAGCAGCTGCATTAACATGTTTAAAAGAATGGATAACCCTTAGACACAAAAGATTACTATACTTAGAAGGACATGACTTACAACTTGGATGGCACGCCTTTCTATGGTATGGGAAGAATAAAATCCATAAATATTTTCAAAATCACTATGTAAGAAATGCTTTTGTGCACCCAAATTTAATCAACTATGAGAAACTTGTGACTTATAAAGACATTTTGAATACCGAAGGGAAATTACAAACTAAACAAGAATTGGAAGAACAGGGCATTAAGCTATCATGGTGGCACACTTGCAAGTGCAAACGAGATATGAGAAAGACGCCAAAACATATGGTTTTTATAAAGACCAGACGTTGTTTGACCAGATACTATTGTCATCAGATGAAAAATTGATTAATAAACTCTATAACTTTTTGTTAAACTTGAAGATGGAAGATGAACAAGTCAAAGAAACAATGATAACATGGGCAAAAAACTTTGGGCACAATGTAGAATTAGAAAAATGGCAAAATTTATGGGAAAGAAATTATAAAATAACAAGAGCAGCTACCTATAAAGAAAATTTATATAAAATGTTTTACAGATAGCATTTACCACCTGCAAGATTAGCAAAAATGTTTAAAAACGTGTCTAGCAACTGTTGGAAATGTAGGAAAAAGCCAGGTGTGTACTACCACCTTTGGTGGACATGCCCTAAAGCAAAACAATTCTGTTCAAAAATACATATGTGGTTAGAGAAAATGTTAAGAAAACACGTAGATTTTAAGCCGGAACTATTTCTTTTAGGTATAATCACAGAAAACTATGATAAAAAATGTATATATTTAATATTACATCTACTAACAGCAGCAAGAATTACATTTGTACAGTATTGGAAAAATGAAGAAACACCAACGGAAGAAGACATAATTAGGAAAATTTTGGACTGTGTGGAAATGGTCAGGCTTACATTGAAAATAAAAGGGAAAGAAGATACAGAATACTTTCAAACATGGGATAATTTTTACAAATGGCTAGAAAAACGGAGTAGAGAGTAGGCATGGGAGTTATATTATTAATGTCAAATATGTGGACTCAGACAACATGTTTACTAAGCACTAAAGATTTGTAACTATGAAAAATTAATAAAATATTTTTTTTAAAGAATACATAAAGGAATAACTGAATTACTTTATGAGATCTCAACAAGATGGTAATCCTCCTCAGGCAATGGACCACAGAAAGCCGAGATGCTGCTTTTGTTGACATTTCAAGTCAACAGAGCAGGTAGGGTTGTTGCTCTGACCATGGCTAGATGGATTGCTCTATACTTTCCACCTACTCTAGTGCTATCCAGAGTGGTATGCAAGTGAAGATACTCAAGGCATCAGTAATTTTAATTGCTGTATTCTGGCCTGGGAAATCATAGCTCTTTACTTTAGTGGAGATGAGCAAAGAGCCCATGTGACATCTGAAAAGCCTAGATATTCTGACTCAAGGCCTAGTTATGCACCTAGACTCCTGCTGGTTATAACTTTGCTCTTAGAAATTAAATGGGAACATTGCTTGAGTCTTGGGCTTTCATCACAACAGTGGAAACCACATAGGCTTCTAGATGCCCAGCCACTACCACGGTCTATCAACTGATTTGAAGAGTGGTATAAAAGATAATGATTTGTGGCACCATCAGCAGATATCCCTGAAATATTGAAATTTCTACAAGCAATTGGAGAGGGAACAGCAAGCTCACTATACAGTCAGGCAACTATCTTGGGCTCTGACCCCTGACTAGGTGAGGGGCATCCCCTTCTGACCGCTCTCAGATGCATTCTTTCCTGAGACGCACATGTCTTTGTACTCCTGGTCATCCTGTATTTACCTTTATGGAATTTGTCATTGATTTTTAGGACTTGTGGAACAGATATTCTTGCTCTAAGAGGAGACCTCTTTGTATTCCAACAAGACAAGGTGGTGATAAGGTCAAATATTTCTCTTATGCCCATGTTCTAAATTTTACTGACCACCAGAATTCATGGTCTCCCAATTTCTGGTAGACTATTCCCACCCTGGAGAACAAACCTGGTACAAATTGTATATATAAAGTGTGCTAAGAATATACCTGAAATGTACTCTAGGAGAGTGGAGAACTGATAACTTGTCTCCTACAAAAGAAGGAAGCCTGAGATGACAAATAACATAACCCACCATCACAGGTTGGCATACTTAGCAAGAAGCAGCCCTCTTCTAGCATCACTGCTCATTCTTTCAGAGGTTCGGCTATATCAGTAGCTCTGATGTGGGGCTTCCACTGATAAAAACTTAAAGGGTGGCAACCTGGGCAGAATCAGCTATGTTAAATAAGCATTATCAGATACGTTTACTTCTGTAGAGGCAGCCTTCAGATCCATGGTACTACAAAAGATTGCTTACTACAAGATGTCTCCTGGGAATACCTCTGAAATATACTCCTTTGTGATTAGCTCCATCTTCAGTTAACTGAGAATGGTAGTTGGACTTAACAATGAAGTATTTTTACGGTCACTGAAAAATGGACCTAATGTTTCCATTGTACAAGGAGAGTGAAGTATTTTTATGGTCACTGAAAAATGGACCTAATGTTTCCATTGTACAAGGAGACAGTCAAGACAGTTCAAGCAATTCGGAATCAAATCATTAACTGCTGTACCATTTTGCCAACTGTTGTATATTGTTTTTCCATTTTCCTATGTTTCTTGCTAGCGGTAAAGGTTTTGTTATTATTGTTGCTGTTACAATGAATTAATTACTCAAAAGAATTTCAGCCTTACTCAGCTGAAGTCAGTGCGTGTTACTGAAAGGAAGGGACTTCCTCTATGAAACAGGAATAAATCTTCAACCCTGTCTTCTGGCTAGATGCTTATTAAATGCTTATTAATCCTTTTTTATCAAATGCACCTTTTGTTGGTCAGTATGGTACTTCATGGTAAGTCCAGTTACTGATCATTATACAACAAGTTCCATGAAGCTACAAAGCCTGAAATCTTCTACTCTAAATCATTAAAGCATGTCTGATGGATGCAAAAACTTATAAAATAAAGGTATCTCTTGGGTCATTATATGTGATATTTATTTTATAGATTCAAATCAGCTTGGCTTACTACATTTCTTATTCCATTGGCAGGAAGAGGTACGTCCCCAAGACACAGTATCTGTCATTGGTGGAGTTGCAGGAGGCAGCAAGCAGGGCAGAAAGGCTGCCTGGAAGTTCATCAGAGACAACTGGGAGGAACTATACAATCGCTACCAGGGGGGGTTCTTAATATCCAGGCTAATAAAGGTTTGCACAAAAAGTCTTGGCTATGGCAGTATTGAAACAATAAAACTTTTTTTTAATCCACACCTAATTTATAATGCTCTATGCTCCTATTTTCAGTTGTCAGTCGATGGATTTGCAGTTGACAAAATGGCTACAGAAGTTAAGGTAAGATCAATATCTTTGCTGCTGCCCTTCTGGTTTACATGCCAGTGATTGGGACGATTCTTTCCTTTTCCTCTGTTGGACCATCCTCAATGAAAAGGGGGATTGGGGTGATGGTGTTCTAGCCCCTGACACACCAGCACTATGTTCTCTGACTCAGTACATTTTTGTCCCATCACCCTACAGAATTACCAGATGGATCACATTTAGTGGGCAATTGAGTCAAAGACTATCAATTGATTGTTGGTGTTCTGTAATAGTTTCTGGACTAAATGCCTAAGTAGCTATAGAAAATTGTCATGCTTATTAACTTCTGTTTTCCTGTTGTATAAGTCCAGTAAATTCAAGATCTTTTCCAAGAATAAGCTGTAGGGATAGACAATCTTAGTAGCATTAGGTGTTCTACAATTTCTATTATCCCTGACCAGGCTAGCAAGGATGTATGAGAGTTGTAGTCCAAAGTATCAGAAATACAGCTACTTGCATTCCTACACTGTGGCCAGTGATGAAGGATGCTGCAAGTTGACATTTAGCAATATTTGAAGGACAAACAGTATCCAAAGTACACTTTGCCTCAAAATGTAGCTGAATGAGCCTCAGTGTAATTATTAAACCCTTCTTTCATATTCTGTATGTAAACTGGGCACTTGGAGAAGTAGAAATGGAGTTTTTTTTTAAAGTAGAATAATAGATAGCCTTCCTGGGATTATAAAGGAACAAATTACAGCAAAACCTCATTTTACTGGACCTTGATGCAATGGACACTTACCTCATTTGCATAATGCAGCCATTACACAAATGACCCAAATGACAATTTGAATGAATTGTGTCATGCACATGGTATAAAATGACACAAGTGACATAATACCCATCATTTCTCCATTCATATATGTTTATTCCTAGTGGTAAGCCACTCAGAGTCATTTGAGAGTTTGGTAACCTACATCTCCACAGTGCTCTATTTCTCAGTCAGTGGACATTCCTGAATAATGGGCACCTTGTTCTTCCAATTAGTCTGTTAAAACATGGTTTCGTGGAACTGAAAAAGAAGAATGCAATGTAATAGAGAATATGCCCTATTTGGTGATTCAGGAATGGAATGCTTTGGAGAACTCTGTTACTCTGTTCCCTCTCTAGACTGTGGTGTTCTGGTCATGGTTCAGCACTTTCTAGAAATAAATTCCCCAAACTTGTTTGAGATGTCCCCTTCTGGTTCATGGAATTCTGAAAACCACCAAAGTGCCCCCAGAATGGCATGGTCTAGAGAGGTTCAGCATGATTCTGTGACATTCTCAAGAACACTCTGTTCCTGAATTGCTGAATCTTGCACATTCTTGCAATGTACAGTCATGAGAAAAAGTAAGTACACCCTACTGAAATTTTTGACTTTTTCAACATATTTCAATTTACAGATATCTGATCATCTTTTCAACAAGATTGATAAAGGGGATATAACAAATACAATAGCAATAGCACTTAGATTTATATACCACTTCACTGTGCTTTACAGCCCTCTCTAAGCGGTTTACAGAGTCAGCATATTGCCCCCAACAATTTGGGTCCTCATTTTACCAACCTTGGAAGGATGGAAGGCTAGTCAACCTTGAACCAGTGAGAATAGAACTGCCAAACTGCAGGCAGCCAGCAGTTAGCAGAAGTAGCCTGCAGTACTGTATTCTAACCACTGCGCCACCACGGCTCAATGCACAATGCACAATTTACATTTTGTAGTCCATCTAAAAAGATTGTCAAACAATTTAAAATCAGTCATTACACTGGGACCATTTCAAACAACTGCCCAGTTGCCCAGATCAGGCCACCCCAGCAAGTTCAGCATGAGAGCAGAACTCAAGATGCCTCAAGAAGTCTCTAAGAACCCCAGAATTTCATCACATGAGCTACAGGTAGCTCTCATCACTATTGATGTTGAAGTGAGTCAACATGATGTCAATGAGTCTACCATTAGAAAGAAGTTACAGGAATTATATCTACATAGGAGATGTGCCAGGAAGAAACCTTTGCTGTCCAGAAAGATCATCAGGGCAAGACTAACGTTTGCTCATTAATACCTAGGCAGACCAGGACTTCCAGAACAATGTGCTGTGGACAGGTGAGGCAAAGATAGAATTATTTGGCCATATTACCAGAAGATGTGTTTGGGAAAAACCAAAGACAGCGTTTCACCGGAAGAACCTGATACCAACTGTTAAAGCATGGTGGTGGAAATATTGTTTGGGGTGGCTTTTCTGCATCAGGGCCTAGGCAGCTCATCATCATAGAATCCAGTATGAATTGTTCATTGTACTGGAGGGGCTTGAGGTTAATGTGAGACCTTCTTTCAGAAGATTGAAGGACAAGTGAAAGTGGACCTTGCAACATGGCAATGACATTAAACATTACAGTAAACCCACCAAGGAATGGCTGAAAAAAAAGAAATGTAGAGTTCTAGAATGGCCAAGACAAAGTCAAAACCCAGATCTAAATCCCATCAAGATGCTGTGACATGATTTGAAACAGGCTGTGCATGCAAAAAAAAAACCAACCCTCAAACTTTGCACAACTGAAAATAATTTGCATGGAAGACTAGAGAAAAATACCCCCCAATCAGTGTCTGGTAGACAGTTATAAGAAACACATACTTGAAATTGTTTCTTCCAAAGGGAGCAATATCAGGCATTAGAGCCAAAGGTGTATTTAAATTTTCCACAGAAGAAAATGGCATATCTGTTCATTTTTTGTTGAATAAATGATTGCAAAGTCAGTTTTCCATAGTTCTTCTGTTCAATTACATCACTTTGATATATTGTTTGAATAAAGATAAAATATGTCTACATGTGTTAAAAATGAAAAACTTTACATGGGGTGTACTTACTCATTCACTTGACTGTAAGTATATAATTGCAAAAAATATTTTTACTTGTCTTAATGCAAGGTAGATTCTGTGCTACTGTCTTTAACACCAAAATGCCAAACACTGCAGCCTGTTTTTGCAGTTAGAGTCTGTGCTCATCCAAACTGTTATACTGTATGTTGTGAAATTAAGTCCCTATATTCTGACTGATTCATCCATATGAAAATGTCATCAGATGTGATACTCCCAGAGAATGTTACTTCATTTCATCTAGGTTTTTTTTGAGAGTCACCCAGCTCCATCAGCTGAGCGTACCATCCAGCAGTGCTGTGAAAACATCCTGTTGAACGCTGCATGGCTGAAGCGTGATGCTGAAAATGTCCACCAGTACCTCCTGCAATGCAAAGCGTCACCAACTGCTGTGTAAGCTCATCCTTGTCCACCCCAGCTCCTCTGGCCCAACTGCCTTGGCGTGAGGAGGAAGAGCTGCTATTCAACAGTTGGATAGTGCACCAACGAAATTGAAGTCTTTTCTCACATCAATGGGGACTGGGCAATGAATGTAGTTTATTGGCTCCTACTCAAATTCAGAAGTAAATTTTATTAAAAATGTTACCAAAAGTTAGCAACAAAGAAACAACAAACCAACCACCCTGTAAATATAATAGTAATAAAATAGAGCATAACAAAACTGTGAAATGTCCTTAAGGCTTGTCAGTGGTATTTAATACACTCCTCCCTTACACCTTAGCTGAAGGTTCTGGGAAACAACATAGGATCTTGGTTCAGATTTTGAAGGCTTGTAAGGCTCCCTTGTCTCACTTTTTGATAAATAAAATATTCTGTCTTGTCTTTTCTCTCCCCCCTTTTTTGTTTCATTTGCTAATAATATCAGAGATTGCAAATTTGTATGGAAACATGTTTCTCAGCTACATTAAAAAGAAATTATCCCCCCTCCTTCTGTCTTTTTTTATACCTTACTCCTGCATGCAAGGAAGATTTAGTATTGTGATTGGATCCTTCTGGGCCACTGTAAAGTCTCATCGCACTTAATGCATAACCTAGGAGTTTGAAAAAGGTGTTCTGTTTCAGAAATAAAACACTACCCTAACTCCTTGTGATTGCAGCTTCCCATTCCACTTTATTTGGTAATGTTTGGTAATTGGATTCAGAAGCCTTAAACTTACACTAGTTGGCATGATGAGAAAAATCTAAGCTTTATGCCATCAATTGCTGAATAGAGTAGCATGTTCCTGCTTACCAATTCCATATCCAACATCACTCCTCCCACAAATGTTTACAGTTCCCCTTTTTAAAATACCTTTTCCTAATATTCATACTTGGTGTGGCTTTGTTAATCTGAGAAGGTCATCAGACCCTAGCTGTCAAACTGCTTCCCTGGAAACATGTTTTTGTTCTATTGTTTTAAAAGAAGAACAAAAAAGTTGGCATTAATAAAAAGGAACGTCAATGTGAAATTAAAGAGTCTTGGTTTTGGTGTGTGTATATTGGCAAAATATTTTTTTTATTTTTTTGTACACAGCCTTGTATGTATGACCATGGCTATGAAGCAATTGAAATGGATTGTGGTACACGAGTTTCCCTCTTTTAATTGTAGCTGCATTTTGGTATGTTTCCCTTCAAATTCAGAAATAAACCTGGGTTTAGTTAAGGACAGTGTAGTTAGTGTTAAACATATTTGACTTCCTGAGCCATTTTCTACCTAAGCCCATTGCAATTGTAGTGTTTTTGTACAGCTCGCATCCATTGCAGTATAACTTGTTACTGGAACAATCCAAAATTAATTATCCCTTGCCCTTTTAATTACGGGGGGGGGGGGAAATCCTTGTGAATTTATTTTATGCAATTCATGTTCATTACAGGGGATCTTCTATATGAAACATTTAGGTTGGATTCAAACTTAAACTTTAGTTATATCCAGATCTTGCTGAAATAAATGGTGCCTAAGTTAAATTTTAACCCTTAGCTAACTAACCTTTAACACTTTTTTTTTTAAAAAATGTGTACCTCTAATACATGGTTGTCAAACTCACTGCGTCACGTGTCATGCCGTAGCGTGACTTTTTTTGCATTGCTGGAGCTGGGGTGGGCGTGGCCTCTGCATGATGCAACCAGCCCACGGGCTGGCAGTTTGACACCCCTGCTCTAATACAAAAATGTGGCTGAAAAAGCATCTGAGAGTGTGTTTAGACCAGCTGTCTTCCAGGGCAATGTTCTATATAGCTAATGTATTCTGGCTCCTCACCAGAGTAATTACTTTTTGCAAGTTTTGCAGTCATCCTACAGGAAATGGATCTCATTCCTTACTGCTGTTCAGTGGTATGTATGACTATACTGTAACACTTCGTGAAACAAGTAGCATTATGAAAGCCCTAAACTTTTTTAGGATAGAGCATGCACACATACCTATGTTGAGGTGTAGGGATTTCTTGAATAGATGTAATTTCTATGGTCTCTCAGTGATAGGACATTGTTATTTTGAAATGTGGCAACAGCCTGATGTGGACATGACAGAAAACTCTAACTTTCTAATGAGGGGTCCTTGGTGCTCTCTGAGCTTAGCTGTTTTGTTGCAGATGTTTCATTACCCAAACTGGGTAACATCATCAGTACTAGTAAGGAATGGGGTTTGTTCTCAATTTATATTCTGGTGGCTTGCCCTGTCAGTGTTGGTGGGAATGGTCTTGGTGCTTCTTTGTGTCAAGGATGAAACTTTGGCAGCTATGTGCCTCTGCGGTTCAACTTGCCTTTCGATTAAGGGGGGGGGAAGTGTTACTTTCAAGTGGGTTAGATGGAGAAATGAAATTTCTACGATTCAGCTGAAGACCGTGAGAGCCTGAAGCCTTTTCATGGACACCAGAACAGGTGTGGATTTGAAACAGTTCCCATAACAAAGTGAACTTGTTGATATGGACTACATAAGACGTTGGGGGTTTGAATGGGAAAATTATTGTTTAAGTCTATGAATTGGTGTTGGAACCTCAGAGTTAGTTTTGCTTCGACATAACCATGCAGTGTATTCAATAAACAGATTTTCAGAGACGGAATGAACCTGAAGTTTTATTTGGATTCTCGAGCTGGATGTTGACACTTTGGTTGGACTGTTTATTGTTAGCTTGCTTGGCAGTTCCTTGATTGGGGTATTGTTTACTTCTTGATTGTTGGTCTGATGTTAATCTTGGAGTTAATCTATGTTCATCTGGGTGCTGATTGCTGGTGTTTTGGTCTTTTTGTTCCCTTTTTGGCTTGTTGATTGCCTCTTTTGCATAGTATGTCGATATTGTTTATGTCTATGTGTCTATTAATAGCTAATTTGTCAGCGTGCCAAACTTCTAGAAATTCCTTAGTGTTTTTGGATTCGGCTTGGCCTAGAATGGTCACAGTTTCCCAGTTGAAACTATGGCTAAGTCTGTCCCTATGTTGTAAAATTAAGGCGTTTTCATCATGTCTTCTGACTGCTAGTTGGTGTTCATGGATGTGTTCTGCTAGTCTTCTGCCTGTTTGTCCTACATAGTGGCTGCTGCAGTCATTATACTGTATGTTGTAGATGACTCCTGTTTTTTCTTCTGTGGCTGCTGGGTCTTTAGGTTTACTTAGGATGTTTTGGAGGGCTTTAGTTGGTTTGTGTGCTACGGTGATGCCATGTGGTTGCAATAGTCTGTTGGTGGTTTCTGAGATGTTCTTGGATGTATGGCAGTGTTATTCTTTTTACAGCTTGTGCTGGTTGTGCTATATTGGATTGAGTGGTCAGGCAGTTTTTGATGAAGTTGCGTGGCTATCCATTTTGTTGGAAGATGTTGTATATAGATGCTCTGTTTCCTTTTTCTGCTATTCAGGGTTGCTGCAGTGTGTTTGTGCTCATCTGAATAGAGTTCTTACACAGCTTCTCTTGTGGGAGATTGTGTTATTACTTTGGTAGTGAGGCACTTGATTGGTGTGGGTGGTTTTTCAGTACACTTGTGTTTCTAGTTTGCCATTGTGGTTTCTGCTGATCAGGATATCCAGGAAGGGTAGTGAATTGTTGCTTTCTTCTTCTCTAGTAAACTGGATTCCTTTGAAGATGTTGATGGTTTTGTGTGTGTTCTCTAATTAGTCCTTTTTTATTATGGTAAAGGTGTCATCTACATACCTGATCCATATTTTGGGTTGTATTTGTGGGAGTGCTATCGATTCCAGATGTTGCATTAGAACCACTGCTATGAGTCCTAAAAGCGGTGAACCCATATGTCAGACATGTCAAACACATAGCCCGGGGGCCGGATGCGGCCCGTGGTTTCATGTGGCCCGCGAAGCCATCCTGGAAACAGTGAGAGAACGGCCCCCGGTGCCTTGGCCCTGGCCCAGGCCGGCCGGGAGCCAATGTACAATTTTGTGGTGGCCATCTATGCTGAAACGCATTCAGTCTTAGCTCCACAAGGCCGTCTAGAAACACCGAGGAACCAGCCCCTGCTGTGTCGGCCCCACCCCCTGGGTGCATGCTGGGGAGGTGTCACCCTTTGTGAGGAATGAAGATGCACCATGCCTTGGCGCTTGCCCTGGTTCCACCCCCTTCTGCCAGAGACCCTCAGATCTGTCCCACTCCTGCCCAGGCCCCCACAGGCACCCATGATGCAAACAATGTAGAGATGGCCATGTCCACCCAGTAGGCCACACCCACTCCATCCACGCCCACCCAGTAGGCCGCCCCCCCGCCCCCCCCACGGGCAACCGCAATGCTGATGCAGCCCTCAATGAAATTGAGTTTGACACCCCTGCCATAGGTGTACCTTTGATTTGTTGGTAAGTTTGTCCATCAAATTGAAAGTATGTGGTTAGGCAGAAGTTGATAAGATCCATGATCCTGGATGTTTCAATCTTTGTGTATTTGGTTAAGTCAGGTGTGCTGTGGAGCAAGGTTGTCATAGATTCTTTGGCTGATTCCAGGTCTATGGATGTGAAAAGGGCTGTGACATCAAATGAGACCATGATTTCATCCTCATGTATTGTCATGTTTTTGATTCTTTGAAGGCACTGTAGTGGGGAGTTGATGGAGTATTTGCTTCCCCCTGTGAGGTGCCCAACCTTTTTTGTTAATTCTTTTACGATGTTGTAGGTAGGAGTCTCTGGTAATGATACAATTGGATAGAGAGGTATGTCAGGTAAATGCCAAACAAGCTAACACTAAACAGCCCAACCAAAGAACCTCCAAGACCACTCCCACCAACACTGACAGGGCAAGCCACTAGAACAGGGGTGTCAAACTGCCAGCCCACGGGCCGGTTTCATCATAGCGGAGCCGCGCCCACCCCATTGCCGGCAATGGCGAAAAAGCTCCGATACGTCACGCGACGTCACGAGTTTGACATGCCTGCACTAGAATATAAATTGAGAGCAAACCCCACTCCCTTACTAGCACTGATGTTACCTGGTTTGGGTATGAAACGTTTGCAACAAAGCAATCAATCTCAGAGAGCACCAATGACACCTCATTTCAACCCTGAGCTACAGATATTCTTTTATCGGTCTCTTTCCTTTCCTATTCAGCTGTCATTTTTCACATAATTCTGAAACATGCACATTCTAAATTCAGTACTTTCTTAATAATACTGCTCTAAACTGGTTGTACCATACTGAAGTATAACTTATGCTAAAATTAGGCAAGGCACTGTTTTGTGACTTGGATCCTAAGAACTGAAGAAGTGGGAGTAAATGGTGTATAAATTTCATGTAACAATAAGTTAACAAGCCTTGAAAGAAAGGGTGGGGGAGGACACTCCAACCCTGAGAAAATTAAAATGTGACAGAAATCTAAACTCTATTTGCTGACGTATTTATTTGATGGTCTACTGTTACCCTTAACCCCCCTCCCAAAAAATCCAGATGTATTTTTTAAGTCACCAAATATTTGCCTACCCTTGAAAACTGGCTGAGCCTCCCTCTTCTTGAAGGTTGATCAGGAGGCTTAGCTGCAAAGATTTGTTCCCTTGTGTTTATTGAATTAGGCTTCAGGGCTCTGTCTAATAGATCAAGGTTTAGATATATAAACCCTAATATTACTGCATTATTACTTTCCCAGTCCCCTAGTCTATGGTCTCCATAGTTTCCTATTTTCATGGCCTTCATAAATGATATGGAAGTCTTGTCTTCTCTGCTTTTCCTCCTGGGTTCGGTTCCTCAGTCTATGTTAATCTCTTGTAGAACACCAAATGGAAGAGTACTGTATATGGTAGTTTTTCTTTTGCAAACTATGTTTGTATGCTCAAAACAAATTCCTATTACCTTGATTGATCTCTTCCCTAGTACCGGTATAAGGGCATATGATTGCTGTCTTAATTAACTGCACATCTTATTTAAATACAAAGTTTTTGAAACCATGCGTTCCTTTCGACCTGTCAGCCTCATGACGTACGAGCCGCAGCGGCCAACCAGCGTGGGAAGGAGGGGACGGCGGGCGTTGGCCCGTTGAAAAGGAGCGGTGGAGGTACTTCATGCGCCTTGGCAGGAAGTGTAGTGCGTGAGCACGGTGCATACGCATGAACGTTACGTGCTTGAAGGCGGACTAAGGCCTGTCCAGTTAATCCGCTAGAAAATACGGTAGTGAATTAGCGTCCCCTCAGGGCAGTTGTGCGGGAGGCACGCTGTTCTGTATTTTATTTCCCCCCGCCCCCCAGTCTGAGTCGCACTCCCTGAATCGTTTAGTTATCCCTCGTTTAGTGGGCGCGCGCCCTTTCCCTACCCCTCCTCCTCTCCCGCCGCCACAAGGAGTTGTCTGTGAGGAGGGGGAGGGGAAGTTGTAGGGGAGACTCGAGTAGCTTCCGCCGGGGGTGGGACCTCCTCGCAGCTGAGGGGAAAGTAAAGAGCGCGCGAAGGGGAGAGACCGGCCGGTCAATTGAGCGGACGGAGAGTGAGGCGGCGGTCACCGACTCCGTTCCCCTCTTTCCTCCTTCCTAGCTTCACCTCGTTGCCCGCCACCATGGAACTCATTACTATCTTGGAGAAGACAGTTTCGCCAGGTAAAGGGGAAAGAGATGCTACAGGCCTTTTCCTTACAGATGTGTTGCTAAGGGAGGAATGGTTGGGGTGAAAGCATCTCTTCGAGGTTGGGGGCAGGGAAGGGCATCTAGTTATAGGGCATATGTGACTCTGGGGAAGGCGTTTGCCGAAGCCGTTGTTCGGGAGGGAATGAAAGATCAAGGGAGAAGGTGTGAAAAGGGGCGAAGGAGGAAGCAACGGTCCCTCCCCTTGAGGATTCGGGGCCGTTGGAAGAGTCAGGCCCAGTCTCTGGCCTGGGGGATAAAGGAACCACTGAGTGCTTGGTTTGGGCCCCATGCTTGGAGGGAAAGGAGGGGCAAGCGTGAATTTCATCATTTGTGGGGTGGGGGAGACTGAGAATTCCCTAGCTAGGCTGGCAAGGAAGTAGCCTTCGGCGTAAAACTCTTTTTTAAAAAACGCTTACTGTATCAGCCGGGTCAGTTGATGAATGTAATGGTGCACGTGTTTGGAAGAAGGTAGCTTTGGTCACAAGTTAATGGATTCGCTGCATGATACGAGAAGACAGGTTCTTTTTGAGGGTGGGGATAAAGTCGCTTTGCGTGGCATACGGGATAAGGGTTGGGTGGAGACGGTATGACTGTGGGGCAAGTCGTCTAGTCCGAGAGCTTCTTCCCAGACGTGCTGGCTTACATAGGGGACGGAAACTGACGGGAGAATAAGCGATGGCCTCACATCGTGCCAACCGTAAGACCAGAGCCTCCATGAGGGTAAAGGTAGGGTGGCAATGAAATGCAGCGCACGCGTTGGGAACGTTAAGGCCCGGTATTTATGTAGGTTTTTCAGGTCCGCTGTACGCCAAAATCGGTGGGCTGAGGTTGACTGTGATAGGTAATTGGGGGATTTGACAATGGGGCTGGAGACATACTGGTATTTTGACAAATGTTGAGTGTATCTCTCCCCCCCAAATCTTTAAAAACTAGATTATTCGTTGTGGATGGAGTGAGGTTGCTGTTATACTGTACTTGCAAAGTCCCCCAAGAAGTGTTTTTCTTCTTGACCCCCTCCCAATCTGTGTGTGGATCTGATTGATGGAAAATAAAGTTTGAGTAGAAGCATGTCACGGCGCGGGGGGGGGCTCTCCAAGGGGGTTGAAGACCTTCATATTCAGAATTGTTGGTGTCCTGATTTAAGGAGGAAGAGCGGTTGAATAGCCGGAAAGAGGCGAGAACATTCGGGGGGGGGGTTATTGTTGGGTTGATACTGAGCTTTGGGGTCCTCACTGACACTACTTGGTGTATTTTTCTCTCTCTCTCTCTCCCCCCCCCCGGGCCTTCTGCAGACTGCACCGAGCTTGAAGCGGCTCAGAAGTTCCTGGAACAGGCAGCCATGGAGAACCTGGTAAGGGAAAATACAACAGTTGAGCTGAATTTGGGTGGGGTTTGCGAAAGTGCGATATTTCCCCTGTATGAAAAGACGCGCATCAGACCAGGCAGCCGCCATAGAGGGGTTCAGCCTAACAAGCCTTTTTCTTTTCTCTCTCTTCTCTCTTTAGCAGGGGGTGGGCAAGAATGAAGTAGCCAATGGTAAAGCTCTCGGAAATCGCACCATCCAATCGTGGGAGGGAAAACGAAGGGGAGGGCGGCTTGGATTTACCGCGCTGCATGTATGGAGGGAAAGTGGAGAAGATAGATTGGATCTTCGGGGCCAGCCGGCATGTGTAGTGGGTTAAAGGCAAACGGCAGGAGGTTGTTTGGAACGGGCTTTTAAACTCATAACCAGACCTACTAGGTTTCGGCTTTTTCTGCCTCCTTCCCTAGTCTAAAGATTCTCTTGTTCTGCCTGCAAACCATCCCCCATTTTCTGTACTTTTTCTGCTCTTCCATTTTTGTCCATTTTCCCTTCTCTTGTTTTTGTGGTGGTTTCCATAGATTTGAATAATTTTGTATCCAGGTGTTGCATATATGTGTGTGTGTATCTTATACGAACATTTTTTTAAACCTGGTTTGAAAATACACATTGGTTTGCTTCAGTCTCTGAAATACAAATTATTTGTGAAATATTCCATTCATCCCTATGCTGAAAAGGATTGATTTAGAGCAATACTAGTAGCGAAATGAAAGTTCTAAGCATTTCATCCATTATCTAGCATAAGTACCAGAATAACAAAGTCTAGTGCTTAACAGTGAATGAAGTCTAATCCAGTATATATGAGGGAGTCATGTAGGTAACTGTTATATTTACTGAGTCAAGGTTAAGGTTCAGGTAGTCCTCGACTTATGACAATTGAGCCCAAAATTTCCATTGCTAAGCAAGACAGTTAAGTGAGTTTTCCCCCATTTTATGACCTTTCTTGCCACAGTTAAGTGAATCACTGCAGTTAAGTTAGCAACACGGTTAAGTGAATATGGCTTCCCCATTGACTTTGCTTGTCAGAAGGTCACAAAAGGTGATCACATGACCTCGGGACACTGCAACTGTCATAAATACATGCCAGTTGCCAAGTGGCTGAATTTTGATCATGTGACCATGGGGATGCTGCAACAGTAATTAGTGTGAAAAAAGGTCATAAGTCACTATGTTCAGTGCCGTTATAACTTTAAACTGTCAATAAAGAAATGGTTGTAAGTCAAGGACTACCTGTATATTCATTGTAAGGTCTTAAAGGAGAATAGAAATACAAATTGAGTGTAATTGCTTATGATGGTGACCCTTTGCTGTTGATAATTGATTAGTCAATATATGTGCACATGTGTAGAAAAATAGAATATAATAAAATGTGTCATAACCTGTTAAACCATGGTGGCGCAGTGGTTAGAATGCAGTACTGCAGGCTGCCAACAGTTCGGCAGTTGGATTCTCACCAGCTCAAGGTTCACTCAGCCTTCCATCCTTCCGAGGTCTGTAAAATGAGGACCCAGATTGTCGGGGGCAATATGCTGACTCTGTAAACCGCTTAGAGAGGGCTGTAAAACACAGTGAAGTGGTATATAAGTCTTATTGCTATTGCTATTCAGGATGAACATTTGTATGGCATTTGTCAGAAGAGAGAATTGCTCAGTGGCTGGTCTTTAATCACATATTCTAGAGATAGGTTTTCAGACTATAGGATTGCCTGAGGCTTTACAGAAATCTTCAAGGAAATGTCTAAGTTTATTTTGTTTCATTGGCACAGTACATACATTATCAGTAATAAGATGTCTTAGTATCTTAGATTTCATACAGGTACTTGGAACATTTTTTCCTTTTTTAATACTTAAATTGCAAGTTGACTTTATATTTTTAAAGGGTGTGGTGCACTTTTTCTGCACTGCAATAGTAAATCTGATACAGAAGAATAAAAAATGACAATTGTACATTTGTTGCTGAACAGCTTATTATTTGCTTTGCTAATGCAATAATCTTTAACAGCATTTTTATACAGTATGATTGTTCCATCCCTAAAAAGCTAAGTCAACATTCTGGAATACTTTCATAAGATATTATTCATACTCCAGGATCCAATCTGGGTTGGTCACCGGGACCAGTGGTTTTGTCTTCTGAGCTTTTGGACTCGTGCTGGAGCCCATCTTCAGGGAACTTCTCTCTACCAGAGTGTGTGCGTTGAGCTGTTCTATGTGTGGTATTTAGAAGCCTAGAAACCACAGTTTATCGCAAGGCCACCAACACTCCACACATTCTGAATTTCAACAGCAACCATCCACTGTCACACAAAAAGAATTGCATCAGAACACCATATGGCAGGGTGAGAACCCACAGCTGGAGAGCAGGTACCTACATGAACAATTCAAGCAGGATGGGTACCCACAATCATTTGTCACAAGATGTCTGCACAACATGGTGGGGAGAGAAAGGAAAGAAACAAGGTACAAGACCAACCACATGGCACACCCTGCCATACATCAAAAACATTTTGGAAGCTGTAGAACGCACCTTCTGAGATCTGCAAGTGGGCATCGCATGCCACCCAGAGGGTACCATACAAGGACAGATTGTGCATTGTAAAGATTGGAGGTGGGAGATACTTTCAATGTAATCTACCTGAACTCATGCATGGATTGTCCCCGTAACTATGTAGGACCAACGGGGAGGAAGCTAACCACCAGATTGCAAGAACATAAGTGAGCAGTCGTACGAGGAGACCTGAACTCATTGGTAGCCTCACATTGCAGTGAACAAGGACATACATTCAGTTTTGCAGCTACTAAGATTGTTGGATGAGCAGGCACAAAAGCAGCCAGGGAAGTGATTGAAGCCCTGGGAAACAGGCCCCTAGTAAGTCAACAGGAGTGTTGATTTACCACCATCTGATCAAGTATTTAGGAGGGGAGGGCTTGGCCAGCCATCGACACCCAATCAACATCTAAGAAGCCACATACAACAGACACCATATAAATACCACACATAGAACAGCCCAAAGCACACACACTGGTAGAGAGAAGTTCCCTGAAGATGGGCTCCAGCACGAGTCCGAAAGCTCGGAAGACGAAACCTCTGGTCCTGGTGACCAACCCAGATTGGATCCTGCAACATCATCCTGGGACACATATATTCGCCTTTATTCGTGATTATTCATACTGTTCTATGGTTGGTAGGGTTCTTTTTACAGTTAGATTATTCTGTTTTGGAGAATCTTTATCACCAGTACACTTTACTGTTTTGATAATGTGTTACTAGTCAAATTTGAAGTCCATTTTACTGTGTGAAATACATCTCTCTTTGAAGATCTCACATTTTCAATGGAAGAAAAGTGAGTTGACACTGAAGACTCATTACTCAGACTCCCCCAAATGTTCAGAAAGATGCAAAGCATCTACAGACTCCTAAGGGATTAGCATCATATTTTGAAAAAGGGATTCCATTTGTATCCAATCCTCCTTTTAGAGAAGATGTATCATAGTATCTCATTTTATCTTTATAGTAACTTTGAAATAGATTGGACTGGGGACAATGGATGGGCCTAGGTCAGGTAGGGAGCTTTGTGGCTGAACTGTGTTTTGAAATTTGATTTCCACTGTTCAGCTCCAACAGCAACTGCACAATGTATCTGAATTTCTCAAACTTATGCCCTCTATATGTCCTAAACCAGGGGTCCCCAACCCCCGGGCCATGGACCAGTACCAGGCCGTGGCATGCCAGCAACCGGTCCGCACAAACAAGCAAAGCCTCATCTGCGAGATGCAGGCAGCACACACAACCACGCACCCTCCGGTCTGTGGAAAAACCTCTCTCCATGGCACCGGTCCCTGGTGCCCAAAACGTTGGGGACCTCTGTCCTAGACAACAGTTCTCATTTTTGGCCATCAGGGCCAATAAATTCTTTCTATGAGGCCTAAAACATAAAAATACATTCAAATACATATGTTTTTAAATTAAGAATCAACCTTGACCAGAAAATAGAAAAAAACAATACTGGTTGATATTATAACATGTCTTGGCCTTAGAGATTCTTTGATAATTTATATGTTCTTAAAATGGACTGTGGTAATAAAGATTTCTGCCGAACAGTATTTTGTAAACTAAATGCTGAAATACTGATTATTTTATCAGTAAGTGTTCCACATATTATGCTTATCCTACTTTTCTTTACTCTGTCTCTTGAGATTAATAACCATGTATGGGCAGATATTAATTCCAGAATATGTTTTGACATGTTAAGGTGTAATTCTCACTTTTGTCCCTTGGTAGCAGAATAGTTTTGAAATCTGCAAAAAAATGTTGTAACATTTATTTACTCTCTGCATAACAGACTGCTAAATTAAGGTTTGGGGATCTTGACAAGTTGCTTACCCCTTTTGGCTTGTCACTTACCATCATAAGAAAGAGATAAACTTTATAGTTACATTCCTTGCCCCTTAATCCAGAGTTATGTACATGTTCAAAGATAAAATTTACAAAGTACATTATGATTGAACAGGAAAATGTATTAGGTGCAGCAATTAGAAAATTAAATCTGCTACCTCTATGCTGTAAAACTTTGAAGTGCACCCCTGATTAACTATCAAATACTTTTATATTTTTCTATATAAATTCTCTTTTCCCCATGCTTTTTATATCCATGCATTGGTCAGCTTGGGTAAAAAGAAGAGACAGAATAAGTAGTCCTGCAACTTGCATGATCTAAATGGTATCTTGCCTACTTGGCCAAGCTTTATTCTTGTTCCATTCTGACTATAGAGGAGGATAGAATGGCAAAATATAAGAATAATATTCTGGACTTTATAAGGTAGTATGAAGAAAGTGATCTGAATGATATGAAGTTGATAGCATGATCAGTGAAAGAACTGAGAGACTAGTTTATATTTTTTGTGAATGAGTCCTGGGAAAAGAGTTCTGTGTTGAGAAAAGCTGAAGAAATGGTTAAACATTCCCAGAAAGCAATATATTGAATCTGAGGTAACATCCAAGGGTAGTTTATGATATGGCAATGGAAATCCTGCTTTACAAAAAAGTAAACATTTTTATTAGGCAGTCAGGAGCTTGAAAAATCCCCACAACCATCTATTTATTAAATATATCAGTCTTTCATACCATTGGTGGTGACCTTTACTTGATGGCCAGCATAGCTCAGGAAAGAGGGGTTTTTAATCTATCTAATGCTTTTAGTACTGTAGCAAATTGCTTCAGGACCAGACCTGGGCATTTTACGGCCCCCTGGCCACATCTGGCCCTTTGGCTGTCCCTGTTCAGCCTGTGTGAAGTCAATTGGAAATTAGAAATCAAATGTAAGTAAATGTACGTCATGCACTGCATTGCTTTTATTTTGAAGGTGACTGCTATTTTTTTCAATTTACATATGTGTGTGTGCCTATGCACCTTCACAGCCCTATTGGTTTGGCCCTCCACAACAGTCCCAGTTTCTCATGTGCCCCCTTGGGAAAATTAATTGCCCACCCCTGTTCTGGATGCATGTTGATATATTTGGTTAGATTTTTGAAGAGTCGTCCTAGCTAAAAGTGGTGTAGTTTGTTCATTGCAATAACTGAAAGATCATTTGGTGATCATACTGGATTTCTTTATTAGGTCATTTTTTGCACATACACAACTTATTTCACATCATTTCTCAAAATAACTGCTGTAAGAACTGCTAGTAACTTCTAGTCCTTTGATTTCCCCCACCACCACCATTTTTTTTATAGCAAAGCAAAGTTTTAAGTATCTTATTTCTTCTGTTCAGCAGTCAGATCAGTGTTACATATTCTATAGTCCTATTTTGCTGCTAGCCATGAAAGTCTGTATTCAGGTTCTATCAGACTAAGGTAAAGGAGTCCCTGCAGATTTTACTTGGCTAACCGTAGCCAAATTTAGGGGGCGGTGCTCATCTCCGTTTCAAGGCCATTGAGTTAGCACTGTCAGAAGATATTTCCACGGTCATGTGGCCAGCATGATGTCACAGAGCACTGTTACCTTCCCACTGAAGTACCTATTTATCTACTCACATTTCATGCTTTCGAACTGCTAGGTTGGCAGGAGCTGGAGAGAGGAGAGGAGCTCATCCTGTCACTTGGCGCTCGGGTCTCAAACCCGGGCTGCCAACTTTCCAGCTGACAAACCCAGCATCTTAACTGCTGAGCCATCGTGCTGCCCCATAGCAGAGTACCCACCAAATATTTAAAACTCTTCATAGAAAAACTTCATAAATGTGCTGCTGCTGGTCTGTGTTAATAAGCAACAACTTGATTTGAAGTCTAAAGTTGAGAGGCAAAAACATGTGCAGCTCAAATTAATTCCTGTACACTATATTAATGAACTAATGTATTTTTTTGTCCCTCTTTAGTAATTTGGCTTTTTTACTCTTTTTCTTTCTCTGTTCTTGTTGCATTTGTATATACATCATCTGACTGGTCAGATAAAGTAAATAAACTATACTACCAATACAGCAAGGCAACATATCCAAAACCAAGGTTTCTGTGATACCTCCTAATTTGATATAGCTAATTAAAATCTTTATATTTCACAATGTTTGCAAACAGTGATGATCATTTGTTAACATGGAAAACAATTTGGCATTGCTGGAAAATTGGTCAAAAATGTGGAAACTGCAGTTCAGTGTTTCTAAATGAAAGATCATGCACTTGGGGAAAAAGAATCCTCTGGCAGGGTACATTATTGGGGAGGGGGGTTAGTGTTAGACAGAACAACAGAAGAAAAGGATTTAGCTGTGCTCATAGCAGATAACTGCAAAATGAGTAAACAGTGTGGCCAGGCAGCTGTGAAGGCAAACAAAATTCTAGGATGCATCACTAGCAGGATCACCAGCAGGAAAAAAGGAGTCCTAATCCTGTTATATAGGGCTTTAGCCAGAGCCCATTTGGAATTCTGTGTCCAGTTCTGGAGACTTCCCTTGATACCAATGAAGGAGAGAATATTTGTAGCTCAGGGTTGAAATGGGGGGGCACCAAGGACCCCTCACTTCACTTGATACTGATAAGATTGAGTGAGTGCAGAGATGGGAAAGGGGGGGACATGACTGAAACCTTTAAATATGTTAAGGATGTGAATAGGGTTTTAGAAGGCAGTATTTTCAATATTAAGCAAAAATCTAGAACACGGGGGCATAACCTCAAAATGACAGGAGGGAAGTTCAAAAGTAGTGTTAGAGAGAAAGTAGTGGAAGCTTGGAACCAAGTAGTGGGTCAATCATCAGTAACTAAGTTTAAACATGCTTGGCATAAACACGTCCATCATCTGACAAAAATTAAAAAAATAAAAGAATTACAGTAATTAAAAAGAAAAAAACTCAGGGTAGACTCGGTGGATCAATAGGTCTTTTTCTGCCATCAGTTTTCTATGTTTCAAAATACAATTGATGGATATTACACACACACACACACACACACACACACACTTAAATACCTTTGAGAATTGAATTTAAAGGTCATGTTGGCTGTGTTTGTGGTTGCTATCCATCAGTTAAACACTTAGTTGTTCGTACCTCCTATAGTTCCATGTTAGCTTTGAAGTTTGAATCTTTGAAAACAAGTACAGAATACCTTCCATTCAATTTAAAATGAGATGTAATTCTATAGAAATGAAATATATGAAGAAGACAGAGAATACTATAATAGAGACCTGACAGTAGTATTTAAAGATAAGGAATTTTGTGTTGCCTGGTGGTATGTGTGGATGAGGTATGCGTTGCCTGGTTCAGAACTGAAAAATGTTTTGAGCTAGATTGTAATAGATGTATATTTCTGCATTGACCAAAAAGAGAAAGATATAATGAGTTTTGGTTACTGAAATTTCTTTCTTTACCAGCCTACTTTCCTTGTGGAACTGTCCAGAGTGCTGGCAAACCCAGGAAACAGCCAAGTTGCAAGAGTTGCAGCTGGTTTGCAGATCAAAAACTCTCTGACATCTAAAGATCCTGATGTAAAGACCCAACACCAACAGAGGTGGCTTGCAATTGATGCCAATGCTCGCAGAGAAGTCAAAAATTATGTATGTTAAAACTTAGCATTTCTAGTTCTACTTCCTAGTCCTGCTTATTTATCAGTATGGATGTTTTTCAGTAGTAAATGCATCTATTGGATATCTTTATTTGAATACTTTTTCTTCAATTTACTATTCTCTTCCTGTTTGTTCCCAAGCTGAGAAAAGTATCTCTTACAACCTCTAAAGGATGGGAGGTGTGCCTTATTTTAGGAGTGATACAGTTCAATATTATGTTTTTGTTCAACCTCAAAAATCGTACAGGAAGACACAACAGTCCATTGCTTAGTGCTAACAGTATTGCAACTTTGTGAACTTGCCTACTGATATGATGATCTTCTTATCTTCACAGGTTTTGCAAACCTTGGGTACAGAAACCTACAGGCCCAGCTCAGCATCACAGTGTGTTGCTGGCATCGCCTGTGCAGAGATCCCCATGAATCAGTGGCCTGAACTTATTCCTCAGCTAGTAGCCAATGTTACAAATCAACACAGCACAGAGCATATGAAAGAATCAACATTGGAAGCCATTGGCTATATTTGTCAGGATATTGTAAGTGTTGCCTTCAACATAGTGTTCAAATGATGATGCTCTTTCCTCTTGTGCTTGTTATCCTCCTGCTCTCCATGGCCTAGTTTGAATCAAACACTCTACAATGGGCTCAATCCCCAGTTTTGTTAATGGAGTCAGGGAGCAGTGCACAATTGTAATGTTCCTAAACATGTTTAAATTTTTCTCACAAGATTGTAGCTGATTACAAATTGAGTATTGGAGGCTTGATCTGTCAAGCCAACTGGAGTCCTAGCATTTGTTCTCCTGGAGTATAACTATGCATAAGTACTGTTGTTTGAGGGAACAAAGCAAATTAAGTCTTGCCACTTCAGTCAGGAAGCATGTACAGAACAAGAAAAATGAGCCACCAGTTTTATGCCCAGTTTTTCTATCATTCATTCTACTCTGATAAATGCAAATTAATTTCATCAGGAATTGTACATCTACCCTTGGAAGAGATTCAAAGATTCTGAAGTATATAGTACTTTGGTAGGTTCCATCTAGCCCACCTATCTCTGTGCTGGAGGCTGGAACAGAGGACTGAATTCAAGTTAGTCCTTGAATTCATCTTTCTGTGCCCAAATAACATGCAAATCCCCAGAAAGTAAAATACTCAGTGACTGACATGAGGTGTGGTGATAAACCACCTCTGTTCTACTTGGGAATGCTTGGGTTTCTCAGTTTAGACAACATAGTAGGGTTCTCTTTTGACCTGGTTGTGCATTTCATGGGAATTCAGGAATAGTTTACAGTATTTTTTTTCAGGATCCAGAACAGCTTCAGGATAAATCCAATGAGATTTTGACTGCCATTATCCAGGGCATGAGGAAAGAAGAGCCAAGTAATAATGTGAAATTAGCGGCTACTAATGCACTCTTGAACTCTTTGGAATTTACCAAAGCAAACTTTGACAAAGAGGTAAGTGGTCACATTTGTGGTATGAGGAAATAAATGGGTTGAAAAGGAAACCAATGGAATAATCATTGTCTGTGATGAGAAGCCATGTACCACACTGAGTTCTGATGGACTCCCATTTTGGTTGAGACTTGGATTTGTATGTGTTTAGAACTTGCTTTGAAAAACTTACTCCTTTTGTATTTATTCAAGTCAGAATAATAAACATGTCTTAATTTTCAGTGACTCAGCTGTGACTACATACAGGATTCTGATAGCATAAGTTATCTTGTATGCCCCTGTTTGGAGATCAGTTTAATATATAGGGAATTAAACATTAGGGTATATAGTGTCAGCAATTTGCTTCCTAGGTAATATTTTTTCTTATACCAAGTTTGTACTTTTGAGTCTTAGAATGTGATATTGCCAGTAGATCATTTCCTGCCATGGAATATGCATAACCTATTCAATTGGCTTTGTAGCATTTTTCTGATCTATTTCAAGCTACAGCCAATTGTATTGTCTTTATGAATAAAATCAATATTTGCACAAGTGTCCAATGATCAGTTCATAATAGTGAATCAGTATGTGGCAGGTATCCTAGAATCAATATGGGCATTGTGGGAATATCTAGAGAATAATTTGATGAGGATCCAGCTTCAGTGTTTTCTCTGAAGTGCTGATAACACACTAGATCTTGTTTTTTCTCTAATTGGAAGTAATATTAATAGATTAATTAGATTAATTGCTACTTACAAAAGAAAGTATTCAAAGGTAAAATGAGTATAACAAACAAGACCCAAACATTTTGCATATAAAAAATAAAATTTTCCCAGTTATGGGAGACTGTGGGTCATTCATAAAACTTCTCTTGAGATTTAAGTAGTACAGTCAATTTCTAATTTATAAATTAGAAGTCTTGCTTTTAAGCATTCATTTCTAAATTCTATCTGCTTATCTTCAAAAAGATACCAAAATGTAAGCCCTACTATAGGTCTCATATATTGATTGTGCTAAAGTCTAATGAAACACTGGTGATCTTTGTAGAGTCTGTACAATTCACCTCTAGGCAAGGTGGGTGGCACATTAATAGCGGATACCTTTTTTGGCAATAAGGGTTTAATTTACTGTGCTGTAAAACCATGTACCACACTGCTGTGCTGAGGCATAGGCATGGTTACTGAAGTAAGGAGGGTGCTGGGAAGTTGGGACAGGTAGATCAACAGTGTGGAGGAAGACGGAAGAGAAAGATCAGTGCTCATCAGCCTTACCCTACTCACCCCATAAATATGCTCTGGAATTTCTTCAGATTTTGTTCTCTCAAAATTCAGAACAACTGAAATATTTGCTTTTGGTTTGAAACAAACCATAAGTTTGTGCACATTCCTGTTCAATGAAATGTTCCATTTTCTGCTATAGGGAACAAAACTTGATAACTGTTAAGTTTTTTGCTCCTTTGTTTTTCATCATAAGATGAAATGACAGTTAAGCACTGTGCTTGTGTGAACAAAACAGAAGCAATGGCTTTATTTCAAGGTTGCCATCAACAGCATAATTGCAAAAATACTTCTTTGACTATTGGTTAGAGGCTTTTTTTCTAATACATGTACAGTAATTGCACAGTGAATACTTTTCATTTGACATTTAACAGTTCAGTAGCATAGCAACACATCTTCAATGCATTAGGCAAACTGCTTACAAAGTTTTAAGAAACAGAACAAAGTTTTGTTTTAATTGGATAGAATGTCCTTAAGAACAACATAGCAAGATAAATGTCTGCTTAATGCCCATGCATAGTGCATAATTTTGCATTTGGCAAACTTGAAAAAGAAAATGCAACAGACCAAATTATATTACAAATATATTACTTTAACCACCTTCTGTATAGAAAGTAATTTAAAGACTGAAGGAAGCTTATCTGATACGACACTATCATGGTAATAAAGTACTAATCTGAATTAGTTCTTTGCATCTTTTGTCCTACTGATGACTAGTGACATTAGGAATAGGGATAACAACCAAAAGTCTCCTGTTTGTTTCTTTAATTCTGCTTTCCTCTGATTTTTCTTTCTTTCATCAAAATGGTAAAGATGCAGGGATTCTAAGTATATGTAATTTCTGCATTAAGTCCTTGCTTAATGACACCTCCCTTAGTGACCATTTGAAGGTATGACAGACTTCCCAAAAGCTACTTACGACCCAGTTCCAGAGTTCCAACTGCTGCACACACACCTGTGGTCACACAACCACATTTCAGGTGCATGGCAACTGGCTCACCTTTACAGCCAGTTGCAGTATTCCACGGTCACATGACCACAATTTATGGTGTTTTTTGCCGGTTTCTGGCAAAAATCGCACATAGGAATACATGGAGTCACTTAACCACAGTGGTCGCTTAACGATTGCCACCAAAAAAGTCATAAAATCAGGACCAGTCATGTGGGTACCTCAACTTATGACCATCATGACTTATGTCAGGTATTCTGGGCTCTGTTACGGTCGCAAGTTGAGGACTACCTGTAAACCTGACTTGGCTTTTTGGTCCTTAAGCATCTGTCTGTAGATACTCTCAATGAGCTTGGTTCTACACACACATGTATGCACTATTAAATGCAGACCCCAGTGAATGAACTGGGTGATTCCAAGAAGAGTTAATTCCAACTTTTATCTTGCTGGAGTTGCATCTCCCAACATATAGGCTGCAGAAAAACTTTTTAGTAACTAAAATAGGTTTTGTACATGAAAGGGCTAATGTTATAGATTGGGGAATAAATAACAAAAATATGGTAAACAGAACAATGCATAGCAAATTTTTGGTGAAAAAGTACAGTTCTGAGGGGGGGGGGAACCTTAGAATTTTGTGAATATTTGTGTGTTTTCATCACTGGCTGATAACCATAGCTTTATAATTTATACCAGAGCTTTATAATTTATAAAGGATTCTGAATGAACAAATAAAACTCAAGTGCAATGTGTGTTTAATTTATTCCATAAAGAAATTAATCCAATCTGAGATTTGCCTCCCTGTCTAATTTATTAGTTAAAGGGATAAATAGGGCCAGATTTTGAACATTTGGGGCAGCTCTACATCATATTTTTCTCAAAAACATTGACTTTTTTCATCACTGAAACTTTCAGCACACATCCTACTGGCACATGCCTTGCTCAGAAGAATGTCTGATGGCTTCAGTAAAGACATCATTTAATCTGTTTAATCTGGAAAATGTTGTATGCTTTCTGAAACACTGGGGCTTCAGAAACCTTCATCATGAAATTAATTAGAATAATACTGAATCTTCCCAAAAGCCATCCAGTCAGAATTGCCCATGAGCAGCAAGTCACAAGCCCAAAACAACCCTTGGGATCTGCAGACCTCTTAGCTTGACTAAAGCTGGTGTTGATAACTCTAACAATTTTTTAATTAAAAATTTTATACCACCCATCTCCCCTATAAGGTGACTCTGGGCAGATGGGTAAGAACAGAATTCATGGAAATCTAGCAAGGTGGAAGCCACTGTTTACCAAGAAGATTATTGAAGCCTATCTCAAATTTGCCAGCAAGCACTTGGAGGGATGTTCTGTAGATACATTAATCATAAAATGTGGAGCTTTTTATGTTTAAATGTTTATATATAAGCTAAAAAGTATGAATTCTACAGAAGAATATCAGACTGTCCATCAGCTAAATCTGAAGTACACATGGATGATGCAGTAAAATAGTGATCCTGAACATACAAGCAAGTCTACAAGAGAATGCATGAAGAAAAATAAATTCATTATTTTGGAATACAGGTAGTCCTTGACTTACGACCAGTCGTTTAGCAACCATTCAAAGTTACAACAGACCCCCCAAAAGGCACTTATGACCCGGATTCAAAGTTCTGACGTTTATGGCCGTTTGCAGCATCTTACAGTCATGTGACCGCAATTTACAATGTCTTTTGTTGGAAACCACCATTTCTGGTTTCGGGCAAAAAACTCCCATTGTGGGCAATGGGTTTGCTTAATGACCATGGTGATTTGCTTAATGACCAAAAATGGGTTGTCACATGATGACCCACTTAATGACTGGCATGAGATATGACCATAATTCTGGGCTCAATTACAGTCATAAGGACTACGTGTAGCTGTGTCAGAATCACCCTAGAAATGTAGCAGAGCATAAAATGAGAAGTTTGTCCTAGAAACCTTTTAAGTGTTAATGAATTGAAGCAATTTGCCATGGAGCAATGGGTCACAGTTCCTGCACACCAATGTGAACACCAGTAACAGGAAATGTTTGGCTGCAAATGAGGGCATTACTTTTTTATACTGGTACATTATTACTTTTTCATATAACTATTCCAACTAGAGACAGAAGGGTTTATGAGACACTTGCAAGCCTGAGTAGTTGAGGCTGACTTGTAAAAAGCACTTCTCCTTTGCCTCAAGTAGACCAGTTGTTTTTAACTACCAAATCCTGAGAAACTAAGTTTATGTGCTCTCATCTGTCAAGAGAAGGGTTTGCCGCTAGTCAGTTTCTAAAATCATCTTATGAATCTACCAAATGAACTAGAACCAGCATAAAATGGTTCTGATCCTGCAATGAGTCATGTGTGCTTGTTTCTTGAACTTTATGAAGATATATTTCCCACAGTATAATTGACATGGCTAGAAAAATGGTGATAGGGTAAGCAGATTGTATGAATTACAAGGAATTTCAGCTACTGTCTTCCTATTGGATTTGGGTTTTGTTTTACCATCGGTGTACTGCTAAAGGACCTAAAATATGAATTAAAATCAATTTTCAAGTTAATTAAAAATGAAATAAAATTTCTTGATTGTCTAATGAGCAATTTAAACTTGTCAGTTTATCCAAACAATTTTATATTGTGGCTATACAGACTTCTTAGTGATATCTGTAATAAACTAACTCTAAAATTATTTCAAGCTAGAACTTTAAATTGTTTCTGGTAGACTCAAGAATTTTACACTTTCAGAAAAGGAGTGTGGTTGAGATGACTAAGTACTTATATGGAAGATGCTGCCATACTGCAGTCATGTATTCCTCCATCAAGCAACTATTTGAAGGGGACTTTTACATTGGGCTTGCTTTGTAAAATAAATCAAAGTTGTGTATTTAATAGGAGTCATGGAGAAGCTCTATCTGTATAGTTGTTAGGAGTCAAAAAGAACTTGATGGCACATAATCAAAATCAAATCATTGCATACCAGAGGATTCTAGCAGGAATATTATATATTCTGTTGACCATTATATTTTAATTTGCAGTGTACTTTATACCTTTTGGACCTAATTCTGCATTTTTTTTATCCAAAAATTCCAGTCTGAAAGGCACTTTATCATGCAAGTAGTCTGTGAAGCGACACAGTGTCCTGATACTAGGGTAAGCCCAAAACTGTTTTCCAGCAATCTGTAAGTCTGGGTGTATGGAAAGTATAAGGCTGTTTCCCCCCAAAAAATGACAAAAGCTTTTAACTGATTTTTTTTACCAATATTTTATACTGTGCTATCAATATATTCAGTACTTCATGGAAGCAAAAACAAAATTAGATATCTGTCACAAAAGAGATTAAAATACAACATAAGAGAAAGATGGCAAGGAATGACACACGTTTCAGGTATGAAAGTGAGGAGATTCATTTTGCATCTTTAGCTTGGTTTCAATCTGAGTGACAAAAGATTAATTATATACATTAAAAAATTACATAGAGGGCAAGGGTTTTGAGGAGGTCTTTGGTAGAATGAAAAGGATTGGCATGATCAGTGAGTGAAGCAAGAAAGATCTTGGCCATAACAGTTGCTTTTTATAGGTAATAGTGGATAGGTCTCCTGTTGCTATAATGTCAGAAATAGTATAGGAGGGTTATTTTTCTGATATTTGATGAGTTCAATGCTTTACAGTTCTATTATCTTTTAAACTTTAGAATTAGGAACAAACTGTTAAAATATTTTGTCAAAGTAATTTGAATACTAGGTTTATTTCATGTGGTAGATAAGCCATTAATGATTTCTTATTTGCCTGCTGTGCTGTTGTTCCTTTGCTCTTATATTTAGGTGCGAGTAGATGCCTTACAGAACTTGGTGAAGATTATGTCCCTTTATTATCAATACATGGAAACTTATATGGGTCCTGCACTTTTTGCTGTAAGTACTGTGGGATTTGAGATTGGATAATTATGTGCTTTAAATTAGTGTATTGTCTTGGTGGAGCAGAAAACACTGGTTTAACACTGCTTTTGTTTTTCTAAAGATCACAATTGAAGCCATGAAAAGTGATATTGATGAAGTGGCTCTGCAAGGTATAGAGTTCTGGTCAAGTGTCTGTGATGAAGAAATGGACCTGGCTATAGAAGCTTCAGAAGTGAGTTAAAGAGTTGCCAATACTACATTTTCTGAATCCACTAATTATGGTAGTTCAGGCTTACAGCAGTCTTTACTCTATGACACGGGTGTCAAACTCACCGCCTCATGTGACGTGTTGTGACGCATCACACTTTTTTTGCATTGCCGGAGCTGGGGTGGGCGTGGCCTCTGCATGATGCAACCAGCCCACGAGCCGGCAGTTTGACACCCCTGCTCTATGATGAGACATGCACCACCACACTGACTAAAGTGATGCATAAATCTATAACTCAAGGTTACTATGAGCATTTTTTGCACTGTACATTTGAAGGATTCTAGGTAGATTTTCACATATATAAGTATTGTAATAGTACCCTATTTCTGCTGCATTTAACTTCTGTTTCTCCTAATGTGCTCAACTGCTACTTTCATGTTTTTTGACAATCATGCCTTGCAGCAGACCACATACTAGCTGCTCTCTTTCTACCAGCATTTGCAGATCTTAAAAATTCTCAATCCATTTCCTAGATAGACTACTTTTAAAATCTGTACTCCGTGTAGGGTTCAGTAAACATAATTTAAGTTTCAAGCTGGCAGAATAGCATTGCCTGCTTATAAATGTACATGCTCATATTCTCCTCCCCAACCACACACATTTTTTATTATTGTAGGTATTCCTTTTGCATGTGTCCATAAATACATTGAACAACTAAGGGACATGACACATTCTCGTCTTACTCCCTAAGTTTGAGCTATTCACTAAGCATTCTATATATTCTAATGTATGCTTTATTTCAATCATGTAGCTTGTTTACTGCATTTAACAACTGACTTTCAATTCCATTTTCATGCAAAATATTCATGATTCAAGCCTGTTTATTTTATCATATATAATTCCATTCTTCAGCATATTGCTATAACTCCTAAATAAATCTGTAACATATCACTATCATTCCCAAACATATAACATGGAGGCTGAAGGAGCCTGGATGGGGCACAATGGGCTCCAATTCAATCCAAGCAGGACAGAGTGGCTTTGGGTATTTAGTCTGCCTGGGAACAAGGTTCTTCTATCTTTGGTACTGGATAGGGAAATACTACCCATCTGAGGGTCCTTTTGGACTTGTGGCTCCTGGTTGAAGAGCAGGTAGCAGCTGTGGCTAGGAGGGCCTTTGGCTTATATAGCAGTTAAGGGACATGCCTGAAGTATTATAGAGGTATTATCAATTGAAGTGGAATATACACTGTACTGTGTTTTAAATGCTTGTCTGATACATCGATCACAATCCCATGATATGCTTAGCCACACTGTGATTTTATGTGGCAAATCATGTGAACTCCGATCACAGATCAGACTTCAATCTGTATAACCATTGTTTGATTCTGGTTAATCCAGTATGCCTGGAATTTGCTGGTTTTTAATAGTCAGCACACTCTATCAGAAGGGTTCTTAGTACAGGTAATGCTCAAGTTACAAATGTAATGGAGCCTGTTGGGTAAGATGTGCTGGGTTGGAGAAGTTTATGCTCTGAGCAAAGTTCAACTTTTGAGCACGCGAGCATGCTTTTCCACCCCTTCCTTCTGGATTGGCGTTTGAGGGCTTAAAAGGGACATCTCAAGCACGGGAAAATCAGGGAAGTCCAGGCAGTTCAAATGAATATAAAGGTTTATTGCAAGCTTATGCTCTCTACAAGAATCTGAACTACTAATGGTCAAAGCAAATAGGCAGTAGATCAGCGGTTCTCAACCTGTGGGTCGCGACCCCTTTGGGGGTCGAACGACCCTTTCACAGGGGTCGCCTAAGACCATCAGAAAACACATATTTCCAATGGTCTTAGGAACTGAGACACTGCCAAAGCTGCCGCCGCCGCCTCAGGAACGCGCAGTGGACGAGCCAAGGAAAGGAACTGAATGAGAAGAGGGTGCGTGCCCCCCTGGGTGTTTGTGTGTGCGTTTGTGTAGAGTTGCTATTTTCAACTCCCAATATTACGAAGAAAAAAAAAGATTGACGTGAATAAAATGTGGAAGACAAGCGCTGTGTGTGTGTGTGCGCGCACGGGCGGTGTTAATCATATTCTTTCCCTCGTCACGCGCCTTGAGCCGCGACGCCAATAACCGTCTGCTCTCAGTTCGTGACGAGCGGGGCTTTTCTCTCTTTTTCCATCCCTGCTTCGAGCGAAACGTTGAAAACCGTACGACACCGAGAGGCACGCGTCCCGCTGGCAAGGCTTAGGGGAAGCGCCAGGATCAGCACCCCTTTCTGCCTGATCGGTGCTTCTCCTAGACTGGGAGAGCTCAGGGGAAGCGCCAGGATCAGCGCCCCTTTCCGCCTGATCAGTGCTTCTCCGAGGCCGGGAGAGCTCGGCCCCTTTCCGCCTGATCAGTGCTTCTCCGAGGCCGGGAGAGCTCGGCCTCTTGCCACCTGATTGGCGCTTCTCCGAGGCCGGGAGAGCTCAGGGGAAGCGCCAGGATCAGCCCCCCTTTCTGCCTGATCGGCGCTTCTCCGAGGCCGGGAGAGCTCAGGGGAAGCGCCAGGATCAGCTCCCCTTTCTGCCTGATTGGCGCTTCTTCCGGAGCTGATCCTGGTGCTTCTCCTGAGCCCCGAAGAAGCACCAATCTCCTGGAAAACGGCATTGATCCCAGTGCATCTGCTGAGCCCTGAAGAAGCGCCTATCACCTGGAAAGCAACATTGATCCGGGCCAGCGCACTCACACACACACAAACACGTGCGAGCAGTTACAGCTGAAGGCGTTTCAGCCTTCAACTATGGCTCCCAGTCCTCTGGCGCCTCATTGGCTCAGGCCAGCTGTCCGTCAGAATCTACGTCCCGTGATTGGCTGGCTCCCTCAATGCGTCCCTCCCTTGCAGAAAGGGTTTGGCTCTTCATGCCGGCTTGCCCCCTCGCGGGGCTCCTGATACTGTAGGCCCCGCTAGCCGGGAAGGCGCACCGGAGTCCCAGCTGCCGGTAAGGTGATCGACCCACTCCTCTCCCATTGCCCACTCTGCCCGGCTCGAGCCTGGCTGGAGCAGCCTTGGTGCTTCCAAAGGTGGCCACTTCAAAATCACACGAGCAGCCCTCGGCTGCTCCCTTCCCCTCCGCGCCTCCAAATCGATCCCCAATCGGAGAGAGAGAGAGAGGGAGGGATGGAGGAAGGGAAGGAGGAAGAGAGGGATGGAGAAAGAGACAGAAAGAGGGAGAAAGAGAGGGAGAGAGAAATAGAGAGGGAGAGAGAAAGGGAGAGAGGGAGGGAGAGAAAGACAAAGAGGGAGAAAGAAAGAGAGGAAGAGAGGGAGAGAGAAATACAGAGAGGGAGAGAGAAAGAGGGAAAGAAAGGGAGAGAGAGAAAGGGAGGGAGGGAGAGAGAAAGAGAGAGGGAGAGAGAAAGAGAGGGAGGGAGAGAGAGGGAGAGAGAGAAAGAGAGGGAGAGAGAAAGGGAGAGAGAAAGAGGGAGAAAGAAAGGGAGAGAAGGAGAGAGAAATAGAGAGAGGGAGAGAGAGAAAGAGAGAGAGGGAGAGAAGGAGAGAAATAGAGGGAGAGAGAAAGGGAGAGAGAGAAAAAGAAAGGGAGAGAGAGAGAAAGAAAGAGAGAAAGGGGGAGAGAGAAAGGGAGGGAAAGAGGGAGAGAGAAAGGGAGAGAGAGAAAGAAAGGGAGAGAGGGAAAGAGAAATAGAAGGGGAGAGAGAGGGAGAGAGAGAGAGAAAGAAAGAGGGAGACAGAGAGGGAGAGAGAAAGAGGAAGAGAGAGATTAAATTAGTAACATGGTTGTTAAGTGAATCTGGTTTGCCAACTAACTTTGCTTGTCAGAAGGTTGCAAAAGGTGATCACATGATCCTGGAACAATGTGACCATCATAAATATGAATCAGTTGCCAAGCATTGAAATGTAAATCACATGACCCTGGGGATGTTGCAATGGTCATAAGTGTGAAAAATGGTCATAAGTCACTTTTTTCAGTGCCGTTGTAACTTTGAACAGTCACTAAGCAAACTGTTGTAAGTGAAGGACTACCTGTACTTTATCACTTTTTCCATTTTTTTTTGGTCAAGTTTTTGACACCTCGCTAGGTGACTTGTACTCGAATGTTGCCATATTCTAAAAGTGGTACAATCGGTGAAAAGGTTGAAAAGCCCTG